GCTCTGCAGAGACAGCGTAGGGTTGGTCTGCTGCGCCGGCTGCCACAAACGGGCACATTCAAAACGGGAGTCATCATCATCATCATTATCATCATCATCATATGTTCAGACACAGACAGAAGACAAACCCCAAATGTCTATGAACCAGGACAGACAGCTTCTCTTTATTCCACCAGCTGAAAAAGAGCAGCTTCTGGAGGACTGTTGGATCCATTCAGGCCCCTGAAAGCCTCCAGAGGGCTCAGATCAGGGCTGCTTGCTCTGGTTTTCACCAGAGGAAGCGGCTCTGGCCCAGACCACCATGCCTTCCCATCCCGACTGAAAAAACGTATCGGATCTCTGAACACAGCAAGAAATGCTGGTTTTACAGAAAACTGCTCTCTACTTTTTGGGGGAGTTTTTCCCCAAATGTACTTTGATTTGGTTTCTATCAGCTTTGGCAACAGGACAGCAAAGGTAAGGCAGGATTTCTGAGAGGAATACAATAATTAAAAAAATACAACTATCTTTTTATAAGACATCAGCCTGTCGAGTTTTCTTTTTGTTATTTTCTATATTTTTTATTATCTTTTTAATTGATTTTATTTGATTGTTATTCGTGTGTATTTCTTTTGTAATGTAACTTTTGGTGTAAAGTGCTTTTGGTCACCTTGGTTTGTTGTTGTTGTTAAGCACTACATGAATACATTTATGAATAAACAAAAAAAAATTTGCCCCACGGGTTCAGAGGGGTTTAAGCGAACGGGGTCAGACACTCAAACATGAAGGAGATTTAAAAGGAAAGGTACCATAAAGGGCTCAGAGCTCACCCTGCCGCCATACTGCAGCATGGGGGCCGGCAGCACGCGGCCCGTCACCTCGGCCATCGTGTCGCGCACGCCGAACTGGAACTCCCTCACAAACGGGTCCGACTCGTAGTTGGCGCTCCTCACCTGGAACGGACACAGGGTTTGAGTCCAGGGATGGAGGGATGGAGGGAAGGAGGGAGGTCCCTAGAGGGCGCTCACCAGGCGGCTGATCTCCTCCTGCCTGTCGGGGGCAGAGCGGGCGGTGGCCTTGATCATGATGGACGTCTGGTTGTCCGTCAGCTTCTTGATGCAGCGCTGACCCGCAACTATGTTGCACACCTGTGTGAGAAGAAACCCCAAAAATTGGGTTAAACCCCATGAAGACGATGAGCAGAGCTGGTTTGTTTCAGGAGAACTCCAACAGAGCCGACATGACGGCCAGGTGACAAACACACGACAGCCTCCATTAAAACATCCACCTGAATTCACTAGAAGAAGTTGCTCTGCCAACAGGACACAAACAGCTGTGGTGGACACCCACAAAATAATTAAATGCTGTCATCTCTGGAAATGTATGGGGTGTTACATCAAACTTTAATGTCTGTTGACTAATTCTTGACTCTTCAGGTCAACTCTAACCCTAACCATGATACTTCCCTAACCATGATACTACCCGAACCATAACTCTAACACCAACCATGATAGTACCCTAACCATAACTCTAACCCCAACCATGATACTACCTTAACCATAACTCTTACCGTAACCATGATACTTGCCCAACCATGATACTACCTTCACCATAACTCTAACCCCATCCATGATCCTACGCTAACCCAAACCCTGACCATGATACTACCCCATCCATGATACTACCCTAACCATAACTCTAACCCCAACCATGATATCACCTTAACCATAATTCTAACCCCAACAATGATACTACCCTAACCCTTACCCAAACCCTGACCATGATACTACCCCAGCCACGACACTACCCTAATCATAACCCTCACACTGACCCTGACGCTCAGCGTGCACCTGCCTGGCACCCTGTGGCCAGCGCTCACCTCCAGGGGCAGGTAGGTGTGCTTCTGCTCCTGCCCCACCTGCAGGCAGGGCAGGTGGGGGTACTTTAGCTGCAGGCTGTACTTCTCCCTAAAGTACTGCGCCACCGTGCGCTCCACCGTTTGGCCGCTCTCCAGCTGCAGAGGGAACCTGTAGACCGACAGTCAGAGTTACTGCGGTGCCGCCATGGTGACGGCATGTGTTGGCGGCGGGCCGACGTACGTCTGCAGGCTGGAGGGGCGGCGGGTCACGTTGCACACTCTGTACTTCCTGCGCATGCTGCCACAGTGGGTCACCTCCACCTTCAGGCCTGCGGAGACACGGCGTGAGCGACCAAACCTGCTGCGGCCAAAGCTTTGACCACTCTGGTGAATTTGGCCAAACCTTTGATTTCCTTGGTGAACTTGACCCGGTGGGAGTCGGTGAGAGGCCGCGGCTGCTCGTCGATGTTGTGGATGTCCAGCACCTCACACATGAACAGGATGACAGGCTGGGCTTTGTAGAAGGCCGTGGCCGACACTGAAACGACAGCAGAGCGGGTCTGAGCAGGTCCCCCCAGAACCGATTAGGAAACCACTTCTGATTATTGATCCCAGAGTTGGGAAATTCACACGTTACAGCAGCAGCAGCAAAAAACACATAAGAACAGAAAGAGAAAAGCACAATAAACCAAGCCAAAACAAAAGTAGCTACAGTGGGTGTTTTTCTGTCTATGATCTTTAAATAGTACAACAAAAAGAGTAAATGTAAATGTAAAGATCCTGACGTGTTCGGCTTTGACAGGACAAAACATCTGGATTTAACCGACTTGAACCCTTTTTAACTCCCCCCCCCCAGCTGTCACTCACCATCGATGTTGAGCATCATCTTCCACATGGCTGGCCGCACTGACTGATGGAAGCCAAACCAGACCTCCCTGCCCCCCCCC